GGTTTGCAACCTCCTCTCCCCTCATATGATTTTTTTGTGTGAAACTAAAAATAGGGAGCAGTTTATGGAGCGTGCTAGGAGTAGATTGCGTTTTGATCATAGTGTGGTAGTCGACTCTATGCATAGGTCAGGTGGTATGGCTCTTTTTTGGAAGCAAGAGGTGAATGTTATAGCTGTAAATAAGACTGCTTTCACCATTGAAGCTCACATAGTGGACCGTAGCAAGCAAATTGACTGGTGGCTGATTGGCATCTATGCTAGCTGTGATGCCGCAGTTAGGAAGAATCAGTGGCAAGTGCTGAATGCTAGGAAACGGCTGTGGGGACAAAGATGGATAGTTGCAGGAGACTTTAATGACATTGTGTCAAATGATGAGAAGTGGGGAGGTAGGAGAAGAGACGAGTGGTCGTTTAGAGACTTTAAGCAATTTATTGATGATAATGAGCTGGTTGATGTAGGTTTTGATGGGAATCCATGGACTTGGTGCAATAACTGGGAAAATGAAGGGGAAATTAAACAAAGGTTGGACAGAATGTTGTGTACTTCCACATGGTTCCAGAGTTTTGACAATACAAGGTGTAAGCATATAGACAACTATAGCTCTGATCATAGTATGCTTGTGGTAGATATTGAACCTGCAGAGAATAAAAGAAGGAAAAAGTTCATCTTTGACAAAAGGTGGATTAGGAGAGAAGGGATTGATCGGGAAATTAAGGAGGCATGGGGAGTGGATGTGGAAGGTTCCAAAATGTACAAAGTCACTAGGAAAATTTCTAATTGTAGAGTGGCTTTATTAAAATGGAAAAACAACTTCCAGAATAACTCTAGGAAAGTGTTAGATAGAATTAAGGCCAATATGGAGAGATTAAAACACTCACCTGATTTTACTAAAGGAGGTATGGATGAACTGAAACGTCAACTCAAGCAAGCGTATTCTAATGAGGAATTGTACTGGTCTCAAAAGTCAAGAGTGACTTGGTTGAAGGAGGGTGACAAAAATACACGGTTCTTCCATGCTAGTGTTAAAGGTTGAAGGTGTAGGAATAGGATGTCCAACATACAAAGAGATGATGGGACCTGGACACTGTCAGAAAATGAAATAGGAGAGGAAGTGACTAGCTACTACCAACAGCTTTTTAATAGTCAAGGGTCTAAGGGTCGTGATAATATTCTGAGGGGTATACCAAACTCAATCACTAATCATATGAATGCTAAATTGACTAGAGCTGTCTCTGAATCTGAGATTAAAACTGCACTCTTCTCCATGCATCCAAACAAAGCTCCTGGTCCTGATGGAATGACACCCTTGTTTTTCCAAAAATTCTGGAATCTTATTAAATCTGATGTCATTCCAGCAATCCAAAGCTGCTTCCATTCAAGTTTCATGCTTAAGTCCTTAAACCACACAGTTGTCTCTTTGATCCCTAAGATTGACATGCCTTTTAATCTCAAGCACTATAGACCCATAAGCCTGTGCAATGTCCTTTATAAAATCATTTCCAAAGTGCTTGCAAATAGACTCAAACCAATTCTGCATTGTTGCATTAGTAAGAATCAAGCAGCTTTTGTCCCAGGGAGACAAATTCTAGATAATGTCATAGTGTCCCATGAATACCTCCACTATATGAAAAACAAAAGACAAGGACCCGTTGGTTGTATGGTATTAAAACTTGACATGTCCAAAGCTTATGATAGGGTGGAGTGGAAATTCTTAAGTGTTATCATGCAGAAAATGGGTTTCTCTGAGACATGGCTTATTTGGATAAGGCAATGCTTATCAACGGTCTCGTATTCTTTCAATATTAATGGTGAGCAGAGAGGTTATGTCATTCCTATGAGAGGTATAAGGCAGTGGGATCCTCTTTCCCCTTATTTGTTTCTATTATGTTCAGAAGGTCTATCTAACCTACTGAGAAGGGCTGAAGAGATGAAGCTGATTACAGGGGTTAGGATTAGTAGACGGGGTCCTTCAATATCCCATCTATTTTTTGCTGATGATACGTTGGTTTTCTGCAAAGCAAGTCCGGATCAAGCTGAAGAGATCATGACAGTGTTAGCAACTTATGAACAAGGCTCCGGTCAGGTTGTAAATTATGACAAATCATCTGTGTTTTTTAGCAAGAATGTCCCTCAGGTGGTAAAAGATGAAGTGTGCAGAAAGTTGGGAAATATCCAAATGGTGAACCAAGAAAAATACCTTGGGTTACCATGGTCATAACGTGGTCAAAAGAGCAACTGTTTGGCTTCATTAGGAACAATTGCCAAAGACGAATGGGCAACTGGAAAAACAAAATGCTAAGTAATGCTGGGAAGGAGGTATTGCTCAAAGCCGTCACGCTATGTCATGTTTCAAACTCCCGGGCAGGCTATGTAAGGATATTAGTGCTATGATGGCTGGATTCTGGTGGGGAGAAGACAATGGAAGAAGAAAAATACATTGGTGCTCCTGGACAAAACTCACTAAGAACAAATGTAGTGGGGGACTGGGGTTCAGAGACTTGCAAAATTTCAATAAAGCTCTGCTGGGTAGACAAATTTGGAGGTTTGTCACATGTCTTAATCTACTCATAAGCAAGGTTCTGAAGGCTAAGTACTATCCAGACAAGTCATTATTTCTTTGCAAGATCAGTCAAACTGCTTCATGGTTTTGGAAAAACATAGCCAGTGTTAGGGAAGCTGTGGGAAGGGGCATCTGGAGGAAAATTGGGGATGGAAAGAGTACAAATATTTGGGAGGATAGGTGGATTCCAAATACCAAAGAAGGGAAACCATATGCTCTAAAGTCCCAAAGTTGTTGTCTACAAAGAGTGGAGGAAATGATAGTAAACTTCAGGTGGAACCGACACCTGGTTTTTAGAATTTTCAGCAGCAAAGATGCGGAGGAAATCCTAAAGATTCCAATAAGCTTGGCAGGAAGAGCTGACTGCAGCTATTGGGTTGCAGGTAACAATGGATTTTACTCGGTCAAATCAGCATACAACCTGTTCAGCAAAGGGGAACATATTCAGCAACAGGACAACCGAGAGCAAGGGGAAACAAGTATACATGGCCAGGGGGAAAAAGATTGGAAGAAGATGTGGAACTTGAACATCAAAGGCAAACTGAAGCACTTTTTGTGGAAATGCCTAAACAGATTGTTACCAGTGAATGAGATACTATATTACAGAACTAGAATGGGGGAACCTATTTGCCAAGTATGTGGAGATGGTGAGGAGACAATAGAACATCTGTTCTTCTTTTGTACTCAGGCTCTGCAGGTATGGGGGTTGGCACCAATACAGTGGGATGGCATTGCTGACCACAGAGGGAACTTCAACAAATGGTGGAGTGGATTCATGGAGGCAACAAGTAGGAAAGAAGGAGCTCAGCACCAGGCTCTTACTGTGAACATTCTTTGGCAAGTTTGGAAAGCCAGGAATGAGAAGATTTTTAACAATAGATGTCGTCACCCTTTTGAAATTGTACAGAAAGCTCACTTCGAATGGATCGAATACATTGAAGTGCTCCGTGGACAACAGCAAATGAGCAATCCAGAAACAACGGCAAGGATGGAAGAGCAGCAGAACGGTAGTGCGGACAGTAACATGATGCTCGTTACAGTGGACATCAGTCATCCAAACGAAGGGAAGCCATTAGGTATAGGCATAGTGGCTCAACAAGGAACTAATGTGCATGCAGCATGGGCCTTGACGGACAGAAGTTCAGGAGACACATTGCTGGACTACGCTACAGCAATCAAGTTAGCGTTGGTCAAGGTAAGACAATTGCCTTGGGCAGAGGTAAATTTGCTGGTTCCTTCCCTTCAGATGCTGCGACTTTTGAGAATAAACAAGACTAGTGATATCAGACTTTTTGCTCATCTAGAGGATATCCACATGTTGAAAGCTTTGTTTATGAATTGCTCATTTAGCTTGGCTGGCAATCAGTGTAATGGTTTAGGTAGAAGAATTAGCATGTATGCTACTACTTTAGTGCAAGATGAGGAATATCTAAGTCCTCAGTGTCGAATGACACAATTGTAAAGCTCCGCATGGGCCGTTGCTCAAGTTGTATAGCTTGCTTTGATTTCAATACAAGTTTTAACGTTTTCGTAAATATATATATATATATATATATATATATATATATATATATATATATATATATATATATATATATATATATATATAAGACAAAGTTGCGAGTTAATCTTTCCTACACCGTCAGTGTAAACCTATTTTACACTGACGGCTCACCATATTGCGCCACCTCATTAATGAAAATTGGCAACCTGTTATAACCTGTAACCATTACCTATTATCAAATAAAAATAGGTTATTCACCTCTTTTTCTGCCTCTTCCTTCTCTTTCTATTGTATTCTCGATTTGCAACCAAATTCCTCCGCTGATCAACTCAAAATTGGGATCACAGGTTAGACTTCTTTAATCTCTCTCTCTCTTTTTTATATGTATGATGTCTTTTATAAACCCACTTTTACTTAATTTTTACAAAGTGTAAACCCTAATTCAATATTTGTTCAAGAATCGATTTTGTAGTATAAAAGAAAGATGAAATAAATATGTCAAAAAATAAGAAAAATTAACTAAGTTCCTCTTTATATTGCAAAATTATAGTGTAGGTCGATTCCAGCCATGCTAGTGGAAATTCTTATTAAATCTGTTTTGAATATAAATATAACAATATAATGACATTCTAGATAAATATAACAATATAATGACATTCTAGTTAAAACTAACATTCTGGTCAAGTCACTTAAAGTGGACAAATATTCTGGTCAAATATTTGAAGTGGACAAGTGAACATGTATCAATGAAAAGATAAATACATCAAACTATCACTCTACTTAAGTAATCTGAACTTGGACAAGCAAACTTGATAACAAACTATCATTCTAGTAAAGTAATCTAAACATCTAAACAGTACACGTGAATGAATGAAAAGATAATTCATCAAACTACCAGGCTCTAAACAAGAGCATTTATTGCTCTTAACAGTCCACTCAATTCTTTACTTTGGGACACGTACTTCTATTGTGCCCCTTCTCTTTGCAACAAGAGCATTTATTAATTTTACGAGACTTTTCTAAACCACCCTTCATCCGTAAGGTGCGAGGACGCCCTTTTGATGCAACTGTCACGGGATTGAATAGAGTTATACTCTTCTGAGATGTTTGACCTTGAGTGGGATCATGAATTTCAGAATGTGAGTCAACTTGAGAAATAGATAAACTACTGTCTTGCTCATTTTCGTAGGGCAAATCATCAAGTTTGTCAGATAATGCTTGCAACCCTTGAAGTGCAACTCTGCAATATTGAGTATGGTGTCAAATCAGGTTAAAAATTTCAATGTCATTTTAAAAAAAAAAGTAGAGGTACTATACAAACCTGTGGTGTTTTGCAGATCTTGAAGCTTTCTCTGAAATGCCAAGTGAACGAACCATTATATCATTAAACCACATGCTTGAATTTCTTAGCGGCTCAGCTTGGTGAAGTTTTTCAGAAAAATCCCCCTCATCTCGTCCACAAATAGCACTCATTGTCCAACGATCCAACAAATAATGCATTGGAAGTGAATGAATTTGTTTCTTTATAAACACCATCAGCGCATGTTTACAAAGAATCCCCACAAATTCAAACTTGTGACAAGAGCACTCAACTTTTTGTTCAACAATATTTAGAATTACAATATATGAGGGAAATTCCTTTTGACACTCATGTACCCTATATTTGTAAACTCCATCTTTCATAGTTATTTTCTCAGAAACATATTTCTGGGATTCCAGTAATTCATCTTGAAACATTCTGAAAATTTTTCGTGTATACACTTTGGCTGCTTCAACTTCCATAGGGTACAGAGTTTTCAAAATTGGTTTCGTATTCTTTGTCTTAAAATTTTTTTCTTTTTCTTTATCATACCTTGCCTCAATAGCCCTATCATATTGAGTCACAAATTTACTCATAGCTGTGCTAGAATTCAGATAGTCTTTGAAAAACTTATTCATACTCTCACTTCTTTGGGTAGTTGACATACCTGGACAAAACAGTAGCAATTACACAAAAGTAAATAATTATATAATAAAAAAAATTAATTATCACTATCCTAAGATTTAAAGTCTAAGTCAAATTTTATTTTTTTAACCAAGAAAGAATAAGGTACATACCTGCGCAAAAACTAGCACGCACAAAAGCAGGAACCCATCTTTCACGAATTGAATATACCTTTTGTATCCATGTATTATTTTGCAACTTGTACTTCTCAATTAACTCAGTCCAAGCCATTTCAAACTCTTCTGGAGTGATAGTGTCATGAATGCATTTTGAGAAATGATACTTGAAATCATTGTTTTGGTGATAAATATGGCTAAGTGTCTCTGGAAATTTTTTCTCAATATGCCACATACAAAAATGATGTGTACTATGAGGTAAAACTCTAGCAACAGCATTTGTTATCGCAGTGTCTTGGTCTGTAATGACAGTTTTAGGAGGGCACCCAAGCATTGCTTCTAACCAAGTTTGCAACAACCAAACAAACGATTCTTCGGTTTCATCCCAAAGCAGAGCACCTCCAAACAAAATTGACTGGTAATGATGATTAACTCCAGTTAATGGAACAAAAGGCATCTTATATTTATTTGTCAGGTATGTAGGGTCAAATGTAACCACATCACCAAAGTGTTTATATAATGACCTTGACTTAGCATCAGCCCAAAAACAATTAGCAAGGCGACCCTCTATATCTACTTGAATGGCATAAAAGAAACCAGGATTCTCAGATTGTCGCTTCTGAAAATATTGCAGCATTAACTGTGCATCTCCTTTTTCTAGTTCCTTGTGTCTTTTTGTACTCAAATAGTTACAAACATCATGATCAGTGACATTCAAGTTTCCAATTCCCCCAACTTGAGTTGCTAAAACAGAGACAATCTTGCTTGGGCGAACACCAGATTGGTCTAGCATATCAATCAAATTCTTTTGGGCCACACTTTTTTTCCTTTTTGAACGTAAAAATTTTTTGCTATAAGGAGAGGCAAGTACATGATTATGTTCTAAAACAAGTCTAGCAATAATCCACTTACCCTCTTCCTTTTGGGATACATACACCAATGCTTTGCATCCTTGTCTTGTTTTATCCCGTGGCATATCAGCTTTAGAATCTTTTTTGGAGCGAAATCCTTCTTTGGAACAAACAAATTCTTGTCCAATTATCGATTTATCGCTCCTTGATTTCGTGATACGATTTCTTCGCACACTAAAACCTTTATTGTGTGCATAGTTAGAGTAACACTTAAAGGCATCATCCAATGATTCAAATTCCATTCCAACATATAAGTTCACCTCTTTTCTAGGTTCAATCTGTTCACTAGTAGAATCTTCAGGCATAGATCCATGTGCAGCGTCATGGTCAAATTGATCTTGTTCCATAGGACATTCAATACCAAGTTCACGTTCCATACGACATTCAGTACCCATTGTTTTTCCGAAAGATGCAACCACAATACCAAACTAGAGACACAAGTTTCACACAATTGTCAATAAACATGACAATTAAAACTACCACTCTTGAAATATTCAAAATAGATTTTGCAATATAAAGAGGAACTTAGTTAATTTTTCTTATTTTTTGACATATTTATTTCATCTTTCTTTTATACTACAAAATCGATTCTTGAACAAATATTGAATTAGGGTTTACACTTTGTAAAAATTAAGTAAAAGTGGGTTTATAAAAGACATCATACATATAAAAAAGAGAGAGAGAGATTAAAGAAGTCTAACCTGTGATCCCAATTTTGAGTTGATCAGCGGAGGAATTTGGTTGCAAATCGAGAATACAATAGAAAGAGAAGGAAGAGGCAGAAAAAGAGGTGAATAACCTATTTTTATTTGATAATAGGTAATGGTTACAGGTTATAACAGGTTGCCAATTTTCATTAATGAGGTGGCGCAATATGGTGAGCCGTCAGTGTAAAATAGGTTTACACTGACGGTGTAGGAAAGATTAACTCTATATTTAAATAGATGAAAATTATTTTGAACATAACATACTAAAATAATTTTATTCGAAAAAATTTTCGCTCCCCAAGAAAAAAATCCTGGCTCCATCACTGCTCTGAAGTTTTACATTTTGTAGAGTCTAGCGAAAACCTAAGGAGTCTTACATTATGTTTGATAGTATGAAAAGACCGAGACAAATGCATATACGGTAGGAGAGCAAATTAATGCATGCACGGTGTTAGCGAAAATTACCGCAAATTTATAGAGTCTAAAGGAGACCTAAGGAATCTTACATTCTGTAGAGTCTAACAAAAACTTGAGTCGTTTGGCAACCAAGATTTTTGCCAAATTTGTTTGCTATAAGTTTTTTAAAAACTTTAGCTACAGTAACCTTAAAAAACTTTTCAAAATTCTTAAACTATACGCTTCAAAATATTTTAAAAAAACACACTTTAAAAATTTTTTTAAAAATTTCTACAGTAAGTTACAGTAAAATTTTAGACAAACATCTAAAAAACTCACTTGTCAAACGGGGTCTAGTTTGGCAATACAAAAGGACAGACAAATGCATGTAAGCAGTAGCGAAAATTAGTGCATGTATGGTGTCAGAGAAATTTACTACAGCATTACAGAGCATTACAGAGTCTAGTGAATAACGATGGAGTCTTACATCATGCGGAGTCTAGCAAGGAGTTAAAGGGTCTTAAATTATGGCCTCGTTTGGAAGGTGAGTTTTTTGAGTGTTTGTATAAAACTTTGGGCCTGTTTGGAAGCTAGTTTTTTAGACAAGTTTTTTACCTGCAAGTTTTTTAACAACTTTTGCTACAGGAACCCCAAAAAACTTTCTTAAAGTTTTTTACCTACACACTACAAAATATCAAAAATACAAAAAAAAAAAAAAAAATTCAACACACAAAAAAAATTCCCTTCCCTTTTTTTCTTCTTCCACCCCCATCCCAACCCACCACCACCGTTTCGTCCCTGGCTTCTTGATGGCTATGGAGATGCGCCTGGTCTTCTTTTTTTTCCCCCCCTTTTTTCCCTCTCCCCCTCTTCCTCCCCTGCCATCCTCCCCTCGTCTTTTTTTTTTTTGTCTCTGCGTCTACCCCATTCCTCCCCCACCTCTCTGTCAAAAAAAAAGAAAGAAAAGAAAGATGGTGAGAAGCGGGAAGGGGAACAGGGGAGACGGGAGGTGGCTGGGCAGAGGAGGAAGGGGCAAAGATGGTGGCGAGGGGAGGGGGTGGCGAGGCAGAGGGGGAAGGAGGGGCAGAGGAGGAAGGGGGGAAGGGGGTGGCAGGGCGGGGGGAGAGGGTGGCAAGGCAGAGGGGAAAGGCGGGGCAGAGGGGGAAGAGGGGAGGGGAGTGGCGGGGCTGAGGGAGAAGGCGGGGGTAACGGGGTTGGCAGGGTAGAGGGGGAAGAGGGGAGGGGTGGCTAGGCTGAGGGAGAAGGTGGGGGTAACGGGGGTTGGCGGGGCAGAGGGGGAAGGGGGGAGGGGCTGGCGGGGCTGAGGGAGAAGGCGGGGAAAGGGGGTGGCGGGGAAAGGGAGGAGAGGGGTGGCGGGAGGTGGCGGAGGTAACGGGGAAGGGGAATGGGGAAGGAAGAAGAAGAAGAAAAAGAAGAAGAAGAAGAAGAAGAAGAAGAAGAAGAAAGAAAAGAAAAAGGAAAGAAAGAAAAAGAAAAAGAAAAGGAAAATGAAAGAGAAAATGAAAGAAAAAAAGAAAAGGAAAAAAAATTTCACCTTACAAAAACTTCTACAAAATTTTTCTACTTACAAAATCTTCTACAAAATTTTTTCAAAAACTTCTACAGTGCATTACAGTAAAGTTTTAGACAAACTCCCAAAAAACTCAAGTTCCAAACAGGTCCTTTACTGTAAATCACTGTAGAAGTTGTAGAAAAACTCTATGAGATGAAAAACTTTTTTCCCTTTTCCTTTTCTTTCTTTCTTTTTCTTTTTTCTTTTTCTTTCTTTATTTCTCTTTTCTTTTCCTTCCTCCCTTCCTGCTTCTTCTCCCTTCCCCTTTCCCCTCCCCTGTTCCCTCTCCCGCAACTATTGCCAATGAAGCAGCAACTTTCTGCAACTTTTTTTTTTTGCTTTTTTTTTCTCCCCCTCTCCTGCCCACCACTCCTCCCTCTCCCTCCCCCGCCACCCCTTTTCTCTCCTCTCCCCGGAACCCTCCTCTACCTCCCCCGCCACCCATTTCCTCCCCTCTCCCCCGCCACCTCTCTTCTCCCTCCCCCGCCATCCCTCTCCTCCCCTCTCCCCATCCCCTTTCCCTCGCCTGCCTCTACAAAAGAAGACCAGCAATGGGAAATTTTTTTTTATTTTGCAATTTTCCTTCTCCCCCTCTACTCCCTTTCCCCCGCTACCCTCACTCTCCCTCGGTGCGAGCTGGTCTCGCGACCAGATCGGCCAGAGGGGAAAGGGAAGGGTGGTGGGGGAGGAGTGGGGAAGAGGGAGAGGGAGAAAAAAAAAAGAGAAAGGATCAAAATAGGGCAAAAGGGAAGGATGGCAGGGGAGGAAGAGGGGGGAGAGGGAGAAAGGAAAAAAAAAAAAGATCGGCACCGAGAGAGGTGATCGGCGTCGAAACTGGCTGCGGAGGTGGTGGCCGGCGACGGAGGTGGTGGTGGGTTGGGGTAAGGGAGGAAGAAAAAGAAAAGGGGAAGGGAATTTTGGATTTTTTGTATTTTGGATATTTTAAAGTGTATAGGTTAAAAACTTTGATAAGTTTTTAAGGTTTCTGTAGCAAAAGTTGTTAAAAAACTAGTATCATACAAACTTGACAAAAAACCAAGGTTCCAAACTGGCCCTTGTTTGGAAGTAAAAAAAGACAAAGGCAAATGCATGTATGACAGCAAAGAATATTAATGCGTGTCTGGTATCAAGGAAAATTACTACATCATTATAAATGCATGCATGGTAGCAGAGAAAATTAATGCGTGTACGGTAGCAGGGAAAATTACCAATGTTTTGAAAATCGGACCGAGCCGGTCGGTTGAACCGCGAATCGGCCATGGCACTGGTTCAATTCTATACTATAGTTGACTTTGTCAGAAAACCGGTTAAAACCGATTAAACCCGTCAGAACCAGTGGTTTCCTGTTTTTTAACTTTCCTCTTAATATTTTTTAAAGTTTTGCTAAATGCAGCTACTAAGAATCAAACTCATGACCTTTGTGATGAAAAACCAATGTAGTAACCATTGTACTATCACATCCTATGAATTTTTTATGATAACTCATTGATATAAAATAAACATCTATCTTTCTTTTCTCTGTTTTCTCTACAAAATCTCATTCTCTTATGACTCTTTCTTTCTAATCTTCAACTCTCTCTCTCTCTCCCCTCTTTTCTTTTGTCACTTCCTTTTTAATCAAACCTCTTTAGTTTTAATTTATTGATGTTTTCTTCCATCTTTTAATTTTATTTTTGTCCATTAATTTCAAAAAAAAATTTAAAAAAGAATTATTTTTCTTAAACCCTAAAGACTAATTATTAAATGTCACAACCACTCACTTTTATCTCATTTTTTGTTTCTTATTAAGTTTGCATTTTAATTTAGACTTTTTTGACTTCCTTTAAACTCCAAACTTCTTTTTGTTTTAATTGCAATTTCTAAATCCCAAATACGTAAATTAAAATTTAAACTCACAATATCTAAATTCCCATAAACGTGGATTTTGTATAATTTCAAAATATTGTGGTATATTTTGGATTGAATTTAAGATTATTTTGTGGTAAATATAATTGAAATTGAGATAAAATTTATTTGTTCCAACTTATAATTTAAAAAAATTATTTTTGAATATCCAAGTCATTCAAAAAATATTAAACTATTTATCATATAAAGTTTTAAATGAGTCCATTGCATGTCTTATTTTGTACATAATATTTACATAAATTATTTTTAAAAAAATTATTGAACCAGAATTAAATCGATCCGATCGGTTGAATCTTAACCCTAACACCTCATCGATTCAACTAGCTGTCTGAGCTTTAAAACATTGAACAGCACGACTGCATTATAGAGTCTAGCGAAGACCCAAGGAGTGAAGTGAAGACTTAATAAAAGACAAATAGCGAAGACCCGAGGAGTCTAGCGAAGACTTAATAAAAGACAAATGCGCGCATGGTCTAGTGAAGACCCATGGGGTCTAGCGAAGACTTGAGAAAAGACAAATGCATGTATAGTAGCTAAGAAAATTACATATGCATGTATGGTAGCAGACAAAATTGCTATAGCACTATAGAAAGACTAGCCTAGCTGAGGAAATCTAAATCTAGGCTCTGTTTGATAAATGAGTTTTTTTGAATACGTATCTAAAATTTTATTATAAATTATTGTAAAAAAAAATTTTAAAATATGAAAATTTTTGAATATTTTTAAATATATAATTTAAAATTTTTAAATTATTGTAATTAAAATTATTAGAAAATTTGTTGAAGATAAATTTGGCCAAAAATGTGTTTGCCAAACGATAGCTCATTACAGCATTATAGAAAGACTCAGAAAAGACAAATGCATGTAGGGTAGGGTAGCTAAGAAAACTAGTGCAGCATTATAGAAAGACTCTGGCGAAGACCCTGTAAATTCCAGGATTCCTTGGAAGCTTTGGGCGTTACTTTTTCTCTAGTTTCTGTCTGCAACTTTCTTTGTAGACAGCACATTGTCCACACCGGAAGAATTTTTGCTGTACTCTCAATCATGCATTGCTTTTATTGTATTTTCTATCTCCCACTTTCTTCATCTGACAAATTACAGGGATTATTTGTGTTGGGATCCGGGCACTGAACAGTCAATTCTTGAGAAATCACGAAATATAACCATTTAATACAAACAACCGAGTGGTTAACAACCAAAGAACCACTGAGCTGAGCTCGGTTACCCTCTAAGTCCCTCTTTGGACTATAAGTGGGGATCTAAACCCCACCTGTAGTAAAAAAAAAAGAAAAATTTAGAGGTGGTGCTACAGTATTCTCTTGATTTAATCAGATCTGCATATCTATTAGTCCCTACACACAAGCTTCCTTAGATTCCCCCTCTCCTATAAATTAGGATAAAATATGTTATATAATTGGTTTCGTTGTCGAAAAAAATAATAATACAAACAACCAAGGAATGAAATATGAGTGACACATAAGATTTAATAAGGTTCGACTCAATTACTAAATCCACATCCATGGACTGAAAACCCACAAGTCGTTCAATGCTTTTAATGTTGAAACTTGAAACCTAGTACTTCCCAGTTAATTACTCACCAAAGACTTGGTAGTAAAATAAAGAATTTAAAAGTTGAACATGAGGCTAAGGCAGTGTATTTAATAACCAAATAAATATATCAATATCCCCACACATACATAAACTAAAGGATACTCATGCACGACATTCGCCTAAACGTTAGTGTATTTAAGATTTTTTGTTTTCCTGTTTCTTTCATAGGTACAAGAGATCCCTCAACATCTATGACAGGATAATTTTCTTCTCAGAGTTGGGAATGAACAGGGAGTAACATTTCAAGAATAACTTGAGAATAAAATACATATTGCAAAACTTGTGACAAAGGCATATACTTTATGAATTTATTGGTTTCCATTTTCTGGTCTATGGGTTTAAGATGCAAGGCTATTTTTATATATCGAGTGAAGAAGAATTGGGAGAGACAAAAAAATAATAGTAATATGGAAGGAGTAACTTGAATTAATTGAATGCAACATTAACAGCAACTTCATATATCCAGCCCAGTGATGAATTTGTGAGCCACAGTAGATCGGGCTTAGTCTGCATTGGCTTATTTCTGCAACCACACAGGTGAATCCGATCAGCCGGACACGGATTTTGAAGAACCGGAGGTGATTTGACTGTTTTTGGTGTTCCTAGTGGTTCAATAATTTTTTACTAAAAACGAAATGTCTTTCAAAACATGAACCATGGAGTATTGGACCTCGCTTGCACCAATAAAAAAAAAAAAAAAAAAAAAAACTTTACTACTAACCTAAATTATCTTGTATGCCAAATTACCACTTTCGTTTCATTGTAAAAAAAGGAAAAAAAAAAAAAAAACTTTACTACTAAGCTAAACTATCATGTATGCCACATTACCATTTTTATTTCAATGTTGATTTACTGAATATATTTAATAGGGTAAATTACAGATAATTCCCTGTGGCTTGTATAACATGCACCAACAATTACAACGATTGAATCAAACGCACTCTAAAAGTGCATGTAATTGAATCGTAACATTCACTTAATCCCTTATAATTTGTATGAATATCCATTTTACCCTTGTTGTTTTTGTATTTACCTACATAATTCTCCTATAATTTTACATAAAGTAGTTTGGCAGTTGTTCAATTTACTACTCAGAGGGTAGTACTAGTATTTAATGAACATTGTTCAGTTTACATGAAACCAAGGGATGAGGTTAGATGAATATTTTGAAATGTTAAGAGAGTCTAATGTATCAATCTATGAATTTACAGGGGATGATGTGTAAATTACCCTATTTCATATGTGTTCATTTTTGTTCTTTTGTTTCCTTTAGTTTCCTAGATATCTAATCCAGATATTGGCATAAATGCCGCAAAATACATATGCATCGTATCTCGAAAACTATGTGGAATTAAACATCAGTTGTTAATAATGACATATATATTAATATATTATTGGAACTTCTATGCTTAAAAGTACAATTGCTCCATTACTCACTGGTTCGACCAGTCCGCAGTCGCCCGAGAATTGAACTCCTAACGCGCAGACGCAGCCCCTTGACATAGTTGATGATCCTGGCCTCGTTTAATCAATGGCTCTTTTATTGAATATTGAGAGTGTTTGAACATAGTGTTACTTAAAATATTATTTAAAATAATTATTATAACACTTTTTATAATAAAATGTATGTAAAGTAAAAATATAATTAATCAGATAAAATGGTGATTAAAAATATATTTATAATGCAAGTACAAACATTATTTCACATAATACCTTCTTGATTCAAGCGTGAACGACGTAAGAACAAGACTTTGATTGTCCATTCTCTGGTGGTTACTGTAACTTCACGCGTGATATAAATCAAAATGAGTCTTGAATTCGACCAAGAAATTATTGGTACGACAGAGTGAGGCACAAATTATTGGTGTGTTGGGATAGCATTTATTTATCTAAAAATTATTTGCTTACGTTATAAACACATCATTCAACATACTTTTTATTTTTTTAATTATCATTTTATTTCACATACATTACATCATAAAAAGCGTTACAATAATTATTTCAAATAATCTACTATACAAAACATTTCAGACAAAGTCATATGCGAAAGCAAACATTCTTGTATCATCTATATATTTATATTTGGTTTCCCTAAAAAAAGTTATATTTATTTCTTGATAAAGAATTAATATTATAGAACAACGACTTTGGGCCGGTACCTGAGTCAACTTCTGGTGAAGTTGGTACCTAGTACTCCCTCCGTCCCAAAATTTGGGACGCTTTTTGGGAAACACACTTTTTATGTACAGTAACATTATGGGGATACACTTATCTGACTCTTCCAATCGTACCCTTTGCTGTTTGTGGAGTAAAACAACAAACTGTTGAGGACCACTTGCCATTAAGTCACTTTGACTAAAAGGCAAAGACAATCAGAAGGGTATAACTTCCGATGATGTGTTATGGCTGGGTCCATCAGAATTGATTAGTGCAATCTTGACTTTTCAATAGAAGGGTATAACTGGAAAATAATTTTAAAAGTGGTTTGACTTTTTCAAAGTGGCTCAAATTTTGGGACAAGCAAAAAGTGGAAATATGACATTAACAATGGGACGGAGGGAGTATTATTTAAGTCCCGTTGGAGACTGATCATGCTTAGTCTACACAACAATAACCGAACTCCATCAACCAACCTTAGTAGATATAGATCAGGAGGGAAGAGGGGGTGAGGGGAGAAAAATGTCAGAAGCTGCTGTGAGTTTTGTCTTAGAAAACTTTAAGCAAATACTGCTCTATAATGTCCATTTAATAGCTGATGTGAGGGAGAATGTTGAGGAATTATGCAAAGAACTTAAGGTCTTGAATGGCTTTCTTAAGGACTACACTGAAATGGACAGCAGCATCGAGTCCCTGAAGGTGTTGCGGAGAGAGATCCAAAGGGTGGTAACCGAAGCTGAAGATGTGGTTGAAAAATACATCGTCCAATCCTCGCAGCAAAGTGCCAAGAAAGGGATTGACAAAATACTCAAAGCTGGCAAATACGGGAGCAAGCTTCACGAACTGGGGAAAGAAATTGAAGCAGTCAGTCGAAAAGTGAAGGCCCTATATGAGGAGAACCGGGTGGGAGCTCGCTTGGAGGCGGCACACATCCAGGAAATGGCCAAAGAACGTGCCAAGAAAAAGCAGGTAAACTAAAGCTATCACCTATCTCTCCTTCCGATTATGGCTTTGCTGCCGTTTACATGTTTGGATCGATATTTTCTTGAACAACAAAAAGAAACAAGGGAAAAGAACAATATTGGTGCGAGTTAGGAATTGAATTTTGATCTGTTTGTCGTGTTATTGTTGATGATTCCTGCACTATTAATAACATTATTGGATTTGGATGTATGGTGCATGCCAGAAAATATCAGGGGTGAAACTACCTTTGATCCAGCAGTCAAAAGAAAGTAAGATGTTAATTTTAGGCATCGAATTTTGAAAAAAAAAAAAAAACTCTTTGTTTTTTTAACTCCGAATAATGTGTTGAAAGTCAATGTTCACACACGTAGCCGCACATATTCTGATAATGATACATATACAAACAGTGCAAACATATACAAACAGTGTGTGTATATGTGTGTGTACATATACAAACATGCATATATATATATACATACATACTATATATATGTGTTTATATATATTTATATTTATATTTATTTATTTATTTATGTACCCTTATTGGCTAAAGTAAGGTGTTCATTTTAGGCATTGAATTTTGGAAAAAAAAAAAAACTCTTTGTTTTTTTAGCTCCGAATAATGTGTTGAAAGTCAATGTTTACGCATGTAGCCACACATATTCTGATAATGATACTTGACAGTGTGTGTATATACATACATGCATACATACATATATAACATACATATAAATATATGTGTGTGTGTATAAGTGTACCCTTATTGGCTAAAGTAAGATGCTCATTTTAGGTATTGAATTTTGAAAAAAAAAATCTCTCTATTTGTTTAACTCCGAATAATGTGTTAAAAGTCAATGTTTGTGCATATACATATGCATATACAAACATATACTGATAATGATACATATTCTGATAATGATACATATACAAACATATACAAACAGTGTGTGTATATGTGTGTGTACATATACAAACATGCATATATATATATATACATACATACTATATATATGTGTTTATATATTTATATTTATATTTATTTATTTATTTATGTACCCTTATTGGCTAAAGTAAGGTGTTCATTTTAGGCATTGAATTTTGGAAAAAAAAAAAAACTCTTTGTTTTTTTAGCTCCGAATAATGTGTTGAAAGTCAATGTTTACGCATGTAGCCACACATATTCTGATAATGATACTTGACAGTGTGTGTATATACATACATGCATACATACATATATAACATACATATAAATATATGTGTGTGTGTATAAGTGTACCCTTATTGGCTAAAGTAAGATGCTCATTTTAGGTATTGAATTTTGAAAAAAAAAATCTCTCTATTTGTTTAACTCCGAATAATGTGTTAAAAGTCAATGTTTGTGCATGTAGTCACACATATTCTGATAATGATACTTGACAGTGTGTGTGTATATATACACATTTACACATATACACATTCACTACCTATATAAATTATAAATATATATATAACATTCATAACACATACATATATATATGTTATATATACAGATATTATATATATATATATATATAACTAATAATCACAAGTATAACGATGCTTTAAGGATTTGGTCTAGTGGTGATTTTTTCAATATAACCATATCTGCTATACTTTTTATTTTCTAGTTATATAATTTTTTTAATCTCTTGTATTTTGTTTTTTACCATGTCAGTAGTTATAAGAACTTTTTTAAAAATTGAGTTAAAATGAGATTTTTTTTGTTGAAAGATACATGCCAGCATTAATAGAGTTGAAATAGAAAGTGTGACTAAAGATCCATCATGAATTGTTGCACCTACATATTTTAGTTATTAAAAATTTTATTTTGCTATATCCTATTATTTGCTTTCACTTGCCACGTGAATATTATAATATGTCTCGATCTCCTATATAACAAGGTCGCCATAGGGGAACTCTTAGCATATTGTTTTGTCGAATTTATACGTAACAACAAATTTTTATCTATCAATCCTTTTTAAATGGTATGGATTTTAGATGCGCAAAATTTACCTTTAACACTAATGTTCTTCTAAAACACTCCTAAAAGTAATCATCCAAACGGAACCTCAAGCGAAATTGGTTGAAAAAACAAGGACGCATACAACAAATCAAGGTCCCCCACTTATATAGAAGACAGAAGATGCTGTGTTTAGTTTTAGTAATCTCCCATTATTGATGATACTTTCGTGCTACAAATTTTCAAGTTAAACCGAGTAGATATAGCTCTTTGATTAAATACATAATCTACGTTCGCATTAATGCATGTTGTATATTGGCACAAGGGTTTCAACACAGATATCTAGTTATCAGGATAGATTGCAGCTAAAAATCTTCTCTGAAAGATACGAGCAAACTAGTGAAAAAAATTATGAGAACGTGCTCATACAAAATTCTTATATCACAATTATGTTGACCAATTATTTTTCTAGTTATTCTGTCTTTAAATTCTCCATTTTTTAGATTTTTTTTTTGTGGATACGATAGCTCCCTACACTATGGAGAGGGAGAGGGGGAGGGGAAGGGCCTGAAAAGATCCTGGGGTAACCCGGAGGGGAGTGAACCACTACCGGACCTGATGGTTGCACTACGCATCCGTCTGGATTTTTTAAACAATGCCATATTTAATTGTGGCAAATTGGTGGGAAGCAAGGTTTGAACCTTTGCCACCCACCCCACCAAGCCTTAATGCATTAGTGGTTGCCACCATTTTCTAGTCATATACCAAGTTATGAATATTATGGCAAATACTTTAACTTGTGTCCCAACAGGCTCCAACAGTGGAGGAAGATAACGTGGTTGGATTTGACGCTGCAACTGAGAAGGTGATCCAGCTTCTCACTGGCGGGTCAAAGGAACTGGAGGTAATATCAATTGTTGGAATGCTTGGGCTTGGGAAGACAACACTTGCTAAAAAGGTCTTAAATGACCCGAAAATTGAATATGATTTCTTTGCTCGGACATTTATCTATGTTTCTCAAAAATTTGAGAAGAGGGAGGTGCTCCTTAATATTCTGGGTTCTATTGGCCAACTCACTGAAGAAGTGAATAAGATGCCAGAACCAGAATTAGCAAGACATCTTCGCAAACAACTAGAGAGCATAAAGTACTTGATAGTTATGGATGATGTCTGGGAGGACAAGGATTGGGATGTGCTCAAAGTAGCTTTTCCAAACAACAAGAAGGGAAGCAGAGTCTTGATCACTACTCGATTCAATCATGTGGCTACCCATGCAAATCCTACGAGCGACCCTTATCGATTGGATTTCCTAACTCCCGAAGCGGGCCATGAGTTGCTCCGAAGTAAGGTTTTTGGCGAGAACAAGTGCCCAGAGCCACTACAGAAGTATGAGTTGAAGATAGTAGACAAATGTGGAGGACTTCCCCTGGCAATAGTGGTGATTGCTGGGATCCTCATAAAAAAGGGACGGATCCCTAATTGGTGGTCGCGAGTTGCTGACAGCGTCAATGACTATATTTCCAGGGATGAAGAGCACATTAAGGACGTAATAATGCTGAGTTACAACCATTTGCCTTACCACTTGAAACCTTGTTTTCTCTACTTTGGTGTCTTCAGAGAGGACTTTGACATCCCAGTCTGGAAGTTACTGCGGTTGTGGATCGCTGAAGGATTTGTGGCTCAGCAAAGAGATTTAAACTTGGAGGATATTGCAGAGGAATATCTGGAGGAACTTGTTGACAGGAATCTAGTTATGGTGGGACAGAGGAGGTCAAATGGCCAAATCAAAACTTGTCGTGTCCATGACACTTTGCGTGACTTCTGCAAGGAGGAAGGCAAGGAGGAAAACATCTTCCATGAAATTAAGAAGGATGACCGGGAAATCTTATCATCCAAGAGCCCAACCTTGGATGATTGTCGTCGTTTGTGCATCAATGCTAATGTCATGGATTATATGTCTAAAAAACCTTCTGACGCTCCTGTTCGCTCTTTCTTGACTTCGGCCAAGGAAGAAACTGCATTGGATGCTAAACATGTCTCCCTTATCCCAAGAGCATTCAAATTGCTTAGAGTGTTGGAAGCAAAGTCACTGAGATTTGCTGTGTTTCCCCCTGATCTGTGCCAACTAGTTCTCTTGAAGTACATTTCCATGTCTTGCAAACTTGACATCCTTCCGCCTGCAATGTCTACACTGTGGAGCTTGCAAACTCTTATAGTAGACACAACTGCACGTACTCTTCAAATCAAATCAGACATATGGAAGATGCCACAACTGAGGCATTTGCATACAAACGCATCCACTTCTTTGCCCTGCCCCACAACACCTAGATGCGAAACCTTGGTAAATGCAAATCTTCAAACCTTGTCTTCCATCTCACCCCAGAGTTGTACAAAAGAATTGTTTGAAAGGACTCCCAAGCTCAAGAAATTGGCCATTTGTGGGAAATTGGCCGTACTTTTTCAGGCCAATGGCCAATCCAATTTATTTGAAACCCTCTGTGCATTAGATTTCCTTGAAAACTTGAAGCTATTGAACGAAGATGTGTCCTCCCCATTGAAAAGGCTTCCTCAAGAACACAATTTCCCGAGCAAGCTGACAAGGTTGACTCTGTCAAAGACTTTGCTGCCTTGGAATCAAATGTCCATCTTGGGAAAGCTGGAGAATCTTGAGGTTCTCAAGTTAAAGGACAATGCGTTTAAGGGTGATAGGTGGCGAACAGAGAGTGGGGGATTTCAGAGCCTCCAATTCCTGCACATTGGAAGCACAGATTTGTTGAGCTGGGATGTTGCAGCCGCGGATCACCTGCCTGTACTGAAAAGTCTTGTTCTTAAGCACTGCTCTTATCTTAGTCGACTTCCACCCAGCCTAGCACATATTTCCACCCTCCAACTGATTGACCTCAGTTGCACCAAGCTTAGCGTGGCCTCCTCTGCAAAAGACATTGAGAACCTGAAACTGAAACAAGCCCAGCAAAAAGGCAACAAAAGCAATAGGTTTAAGCTCTTGGTGTATCCCCCGGATCATTTGTGACTGCCACATCTTCCAGTGCTTCTTTGACAGGTTAGTAAAGTTCTTTCGCATGTCTTCTTCTCCTATCTTTTTTTCTTGATCATCTTGTGCGCTACGACGGTGCCATTACCCTCCTTTTTGTCTCGTCTTTTCAGAAAGTTTATGTGCTTTTTGGCTGAAGAAGAGAATTTAATTTAAGAAGCAACCCTGTAGACGTCTTTTCTTAACATTGTATTGCATTCATAATAACTTCCAGCTGCAGCTTGAAAATTATACAAGTTTCTTGTGTGTTTTCCATGTACTGGGAAGTTAGCCATTTATAACTTTCCCTCTTTTTTTTTTTTGGTTGTACTTTTACTTCAATAATCTACTACTTTTATTCTGTACCCCAATAAAAATGAAAGCTGAATCTGTTGAAGTTTTTTCTTTTTTCTTTTTGGCTGCTTCTGCTAAACTCGAGTTTCCTTTTTGTGATATATTGTCCCCGTTAAATGACAATATTTTCTAGTTTCTCACAAATAATTTTGTAAAGGGCAAATTATATTTTACCCCCTGTGGTTTAGCCTTTTTTTACATAACCCCCATATGGTTTCAAAAGTTATATATAACATCCTCACAATTTGGATTAAAGTGTCAAAGTGATGAAAATAGTCACTCGTAACGGAACTTCTAAAAATGTCGAAATTACCCTTATAAATACATGACACATTAACCCCGTATGATTTTTATATTTTACTATATAACCCCCTGATGGTTTAATACTTTACCATATAACCCCCTTATGATTTTCAAAATATATACATAACCCCCCTTGATTAATAAATAATTTTCAACTTTACATAAGGGCATTTTTGACATTTTAGGTGACTCCGTTACAAATGGTCATTCCTGTTACTTTGACACTTTAATCCAAACCATAAGGGGGTTATGTATAGTTTTGAAACCACAGGAGGGTTATGTAAAAGAACGTTAAACCACAGGGGGGTAAAGTGGAATTTGCCCTTTTGTAAAAGTATCAAAAAGTGGCCAATTGCTACTATATTATCATGATCCTGGAGGCATGGGATTCAGGTGACTTCGGGTTTTATTTTATTATTGTTTTTAGCAAAACCCCTTAAATTTTATTAATAATTGAAAGAAAGGAGGGGTTCTTTCACCTCAATATTTACCTTTTAATTTTGAAGGGTCATAACCATTAGTATCAGAGTCATCCATTCCTCTCAATTGCTCCCCTAACAAAAAGAATTGAGAGTTGAACTCTTTTTTTTTTTTTTCTTTTAAGGCAAATTGAATAATGAATGTGATGTTGATTAGGGCATAGGGTGTAACTATTGCAAACAAACATGTGTACGTACACACGCATACATATCCAAGTAATTTTTTGTGTCAAGCAATAAAGTACCTTACGCCACCATACCCAACCAAGCAGTCAAATGAACATGAATGGTTAGATTAACTAAACAAATAAATCTTTCAATCTTTCAATTGCTTTCTGAATAGGGTATACAAGAAGAAATTAAATTTGCAAATTCTACTAATTACCAAAATTTTAAAACAATAACGTGGACATTGACCAATTTTGAAAATTAATTCATTTTGAAGTAGAAATTTGTTTTGTCTAACTCTGTTGATGTACAACTGGGGACTTAACTAGCGGAACAAAGGAAATCAGGGGCTATGAAATTTCTAGAGAGAGAGATGGATTGGCAGTTGGAGGTTGCAAAGAGCAGGGGCAGAAAAGGAGGTTTAGGGCGTCGGCAGAACGGTCAGTACATGGAGGAAGAGTTGATGGGGCTAAGGAGGTTAAGGCTACCACCGTGCAGAGAGACAACTAGACTGGGGAGAAAGAGGACAGATAGGAAAGTGGCGATATAATTGAAAGCAGGGAAGGAAAGGCAGAAGAAGAAGGAGAGAAACCTATAACTAAAAGAATGAGTTACTGATCCAGTGGGTAACCTACAGCCCACTTTGTCTTAAGTGCAAATATGTGGCTGTCAAGACTTCATTTAGGCTTTTTCCTTTTTTTTTATTTTTACAATAATAAGAGAGGAGTGAAATTTAAAAGGGGAGGAAGGGGTAAGGAGATTTGAACCCTGGTCTTCTAACATCAAGTAATAAAGTAAATAATTAAGTAACTGAGTTTTGATATGAAATATTTTGTCTCTTGTTTACATTGTTCGTATCAATGAGGACATGCAACTATTTTATTCGGAGCAACGAGCTTGTACCTAGGTGAGTCCAGATTCGTGCATGACTTTGCGTTCAGTTTATATTTGCAAACTTGCTTCATAAAATTATGTTTGGTAGCTAAGATCCCAATAAGAAAAGGACAAATGCACGTTTGGTAGCAGGCGAGATTACTACAGCACTATAGAACGAATCTATCGAAGACCTGAGTCAATTGCAGCATTTGTTGGATGCTTTTGGCCTAATTTTTGCTCTAGTTTCTGTTTGCAACTTTTTTTTTTTTTTTTTTTGTAGATAGCATTTTTCATAATGTTCTTGTCAATATGAACATGACTATTGCTCCAATTTTGGCACCTAAACCAAAAACGAATTTGACCAGGATTAGCGCCAGATTTGCCTAATTTTTCCTTTTTCTCTTTCTTCTGTTTTTGGTTGACAAGCAAAAGAGATCCATTAATGTCTATGAACATATCGAAATTCTCATTCAGTTTTTGCTTTGCCTTTAAGGATGTTAATTTTGTCCTTTTGAACTCGTTGCCACGACCTTAAATGTTGGAGGGTAAATAACATATAACCTCTCCTATGATTTTATCTATTACCACATGACTCCTCTAATATTTCAAAATATCCATTTCGTTCCCCTATAATTTTATGTAAAGTGAAATTTGGTGGAAAATAGCAATGTAACATTGTTAGTTAAAATATCAATAGTGCCATCACTTAAATGTTAAATTAATTGACTATTTAACTATCTTGTATAAACATATGAAGAAATTACTTGGATAAATACAAAAATCACAAGAGAGTAAAGTGGATATTTATACAAATTGTAGGAGAGAAACAAGTATATTAAGATTTTATCACACATACTTCTAAAATGCGTTTACTATGAATGCCGTAACTGATTATGTATTTAGTACATTTTCCACTCTACACAAAATCACAAGAGGGTTATGTGACTATTTTAAAACCTTAGGGGAATCATCCGGGCGTTTTGTAAAACTACAGAGGGTAATAAGTAATTTAACTAATGTTTAATGATTATTTATTAGATTTTCCATGTATCTAAGTTGCAATGCCATTTTGGTTTATAGAGTCAATGAAGAATTGCAAGACCAAAAGAAGCAACGGAATAGGGATCATATGAGTCGAGTCACTCGCGAGTTGATCGCAAGCAATTCATGTCAAAGCTTGACTCGAACTCGAGTTTAAAGATACTCAACTCGTTAACTCGCGAACTGATTTGATTTTTTATTTTAATTGTGAAATTACATATATATTCCTAATATTTTATCATTTTTAAGAAAAACTTCTATTTTATTCATTTTTAAAAAGTAAAATAATTATTTTTTATTTTTTTAAGTTCAAACTCGAGTTCGACTCGGCTCGAATTTGAGATCGAACGCAAGTTCGAAATTTACATTGAGAGTTTGTCGAGTTCGAACTAATGTTTTGAAACTTGGACTGTTAATTGAATCAATTTGTCGAGTTCGAACCGACCGATCCAGTCCAGTTTTCAAAACAATGGTTCGAACTCAAGTTCGAAGCTGAAAAACAGGGTCTACCTATGGTAATATTTATTACTTCTGAAGAAAAATTACATGTTTGGTTTCATTAAGCCTTGTTGCTGAATTTATTGTTTCCACTTCTTTACTCTAATTGCGATAGAAATGCTGTCTAATTTGGTAAGTTTGTTTTTGGAAGGTATGTCTTTTTAAGGTTGTGGTCCTGTTAAACTATGCTAAAACTATTTTTAACTTGGGATTAGATTTTGTTAGTCATGTACGCATTCTTCTCAGAAAAAATGATGTTACTTTGATGCACCTTTTCAAGATATCATAATACTCTTGCACGACTGCAAGAGAAGGCTTTTCAAGACTTTATTGTTTCCATGTCTTTACTTAGACAATTCTTTATTTGCATCTCTTGGCTGCCAATTGATTACTTCTCTCGGTATTAGTATTTTTTTAAACTTAATTTATGTATTTTGTAGAATTTTCATTGTGATGGATACATCCGAAAATCTGATTTCATCCGAACAAGGAGACAATTCACCAACTCCACAATCAATTAATGTTGTTGAGCCAATCGATTTAGAAGTTCAAGATGAAGATGAATATGAAATTGAAGGAGGTAAAAGAAAATTAAAATAAAAAGTTTGGGATCATTTTGATAGGGAGAAAGGTGATAATGGTATTCATTTTGGTGTGTGCAACTGTTGTAAAAAAAAGTACAAAACTGGTAGTAGTTATGGGACAAGTAGCTTGCATGATCATCTTAGAAGGAGTACTAAAAAGCCTAAATAAGATATTAGGCAAATGTTACTTTGAAGTGATAGTAAAAAAGCTGATGGCAAACAAGAATTGTACAATCATGTCTTTGATATTGTTGATCACATAGGCTTCTGAAGATTTGTTAATAGTTTGCAACCATGTTTCAAGATGGTTACAAGAAATACAATCAAAGGGGATATCATGAAGATCTATGAATTGCAAAAATTAAAAAATAGTAATTTCTTGGAAAAACTCAAAAGCAAGGTTGCAATTACAACTGACATATGGACTTCCAATAACACCAAGAAAGGTTTCATGGCCATCACTGCACATTATATTGATGATTCGTGGATCTTACAGAGTCAAATGTTGAGGTAAGTTTTTCAAAATTTCAAAACTTAACTTATGCTAATTGATGTTATACATGATAAAATTATTTTATTTCTTTTAGTTAGGTTTATTTATTTTCCTGCTCCACATACCTGGTAGGTGTCAAACCACCAAGATTTATTAACTATCTATTATCTACTCCCCAAAAGTTAATGAGTATAGTGTTGAGTAAGGTCGTCTCCCTACTCACAGGGAAATCCAATGGATATTAGGGGGAAAGTTGTAGAATTTCTTTGAAATTATAATTAAAATAACATAAAATAAAATAATGCAATAATATATATTAAAAATAAATTAATTATCAAAATCGAGTCAAGGAAATAATCTTGGCAACTGTTCACACAATTGATCACTAATACCAAAAATAACTCATATGTTCACAAATAAATTGGTTATAGCAATTCAACAACTGCTGAACTACCAATCGCTCCTTAATTTCTTGGTAGTTAAGGGACGCTCATTAACTACGTCCCTTGTAAAGTAGATAATCCTAGAGATGCTAATAGGATTTAATCTATTCACAACCTTAAATATTAGAAAGACCCAATTCTAGTTAACAAACACACATGTTGGTTCATTTAA